AGTTTGTTCCTGTTCCGTAGTTAAAGTTATACCGAGTGGAATAAAAGTTGGAAGCAGAAGAAAGAGTTTGATACTCGGCCATCCACGGTACAATATTTATTACTTTGATAACACTATACTATTTATCAATTGGGAGGGCGTTTATCAATCTCTCAAATAAATGTTAAGTTTAGTTTTGTCGCTATTTATACAATATTTACATTGGAGAACAACAGTCACATCAATCGCTTACTCAAACTTATTTTTTACTTAAATTCTAGCAAGTTATTGTCCAGTACAATACCACTCTTGTTTGGATTGATAGGTATAATCTTGTCAAGCTACAATATAATATAATATACACATGTGTGCGCATATATAATCTTATTGTTCTTTAGTGAATAGTATACTTAGTCTACGATTTAAAAATAGTTTTCATTTGTCGAAAGAAAAATAGCTATTTTAATATACAAAATTGGACACAATCTACAAGCAGCTGCGATTTTCTTCGGGGATGCGAAACGGATTCTTTTATAAACTCCCCAACTGTTCAATAGTTTTCTTCATTTCAAGAAACTGATGATGGGTCTACTGTATACCGGGTGGTTTTTCAAAATCTTGGAACACTGAAAATATTTTGGAAATTAGTGATCTTAGAAGGAAAAGTTTATCCGTGTTAGAAAAAAACGCCTACTTCAATCTTGTAGGCTAGGCGGCGGCCAAGTTTATGGCAACGAGAAAATCTAATTACAAGCTAGATAATTGATGTGAATAATACTCAATTTCAGGGATATTTTTTCGTAGGATCACTTATTTCCGAAATATTTCAGCGTTTCAAAATAAAATAAAAATCCATCCTACACACTTCGGATCCAAAAATGCACACATTGTTAATAGATGTAACTAAGTGAGTTCTAAATAAACTTCTATTACTTACTTTACCTGCTATAGGATTCAACGTTTATCTGAATATAAGTTGGGAAACTCAACCACAAATGTTTTGGTTCAAAATACATTATAAACTTAACAGCTTAAACAATTATATTATTTATAATGGATATTTAGGTCTATTAATAAAATATTACTAATATCACCTATATTTCATTTACATTTCGCCAAAAAATAGACTCTCACGGCCATTCTTTGAGACTGGATCGATCATTTTGATACAATTTCTTATAATACTTTCGCTAAAATTAATATACAGAGCAAGTTTTTTTCGATGACTAGTACAGGGATCTTCGTAACTAGAGCAGTTACGAAGAAGGTCAAATGGACAAAGAATTGTAGTTTTGAATGCTCTACTGGAAACCAATTTTATTTTTCTACAATTTGACAGCTGTCAAGAGATATTTCGGAAAAACTTATTTATCATAAATTTTCAAATTACTCCTAGTTCCGTTGATATTAATTTGACAGGAAAACATTAAATAGAAAACTTTAAAGAAAGGTTAAAAAGAAAATTGAATTTCCAACAAAATGGCATATGACATTTCTCCAAATTAACTGTCATTTTTGACATGACACAAATTTAAATTTTTTAAAATGGCAATCATGCTTGATTTTCATTCAACTTTAGCGAATAGAGCATTTTATTACGATTTCTAAGATATGTCACATTGTTCGAATTTTTTCGAAAATAAACAACGTCTGCGAACAATTAATTTTCAACTTAGTTGATCGAAGTTAGCCATGGAAAATAGTACAAGACATACAGCATAGTTTCCATAGTAACAAATAATAACAGTATGCTTCACTGTTTATTTTGACAATTACGTTTAAGTTGGCAATAACTTTATTTAAACTAAGACGGCTGCTTATTTAAAGTGTTTATTACAAAAATATTAACTGATCTATAGCGAGTTATTAAAACAAATTTTAACATTTTTTGACGAAGCTAATTTAGCAGAGAGGCAGGAAATATTCTTTCAACAAGACGGCACTCCGTCTCATAATATGAGAGAAATTTTACCATTAATACGTCTATATTTTGGTGATCAAAAAAACCACAAAAAACCCACTCCATTAGACTTTTTTGTGGGGTGAGGATGATGGGTGATCAAAGATGAGGTGTGCCGGAAAAATATCAAAAAGTAGAAGAACTAAAACTAAATGCAATTTTTAAAACATCGAACTCTGTAAAAAGATGTGCTTTAAATTGTATTAATTAGGAAGTACAATTAATACCTTTTATTTTATTTTTTAGTTCATAGTTCTAAGACATTTTCAACATATTATCCGCTTAGGTAGTTAGAAGTAAAACTTTTTAATATTTTTAAAATTTGTCATTTTAGGAAAAAAATGTTACTAAATTAATTCTACCCAAAAGAATTAATTTGACCTCGATTTTGTGCACGATGTCGGGGGCTCCATTTAAAAATAAGAGTTTTTCTTAAATATCTTTAATGCGATGTTCAATTGTTCTTTTAGCATCACCAACCAGCGTAAAAAATACAACTCTTTGTCATTTAAACCAAGACACTAATAACAAAGTTACCAATGGTGCGCCCTTAATTTGGTACAGCCTGTATATCAAATTATCACAGGATTATGTTATAGGTAGTTTTCCTAAAAGTTAGTTTCTAAAACGGCGGAGAGACAGCAATACAAACAATAAATAAATACATAATAAATTACACAATAAATAAAGTCAGACATATAAACAATAAATAAAGTAAATTTTTAGTCCGAAAAAGTATTAAGATGAGTTAAAAATAGTGTTCCTCCGACAAAAAAATCGTTTTTTATGGTTCTTGCAGTGCATTGACTGTTCAACGTTGGCTGTCAGGTTCGTTATCACATTAACGACCATTTTTCGTTTCTCAACCATGAATATCTTCTGGCTCATGGCCTCTTCTGGTACTAGTCTTTCTTTTCATAGCCAGATGCTTAAATTGGTACTTTTCAGGTTACCGCATAATATGTTCAAAGTACTCAAAAGCTTGCGTTATTTGATTGTTAGAAATATTTCAAGCTTTTTGTTCCATATAGCAAGTATGTAATTCGCTTTTTTCACCAAACTGATTCTTGGCAGCCGTCGGTACACCCACATTCGACAAAAGCATCGAGGGCGCTCAAGCATTGAAATTGTATTTGTCGACGACTCCATTCCGAATTCGAGAAATACCGAATACTCGTAACTTCTAACCATTCTCAATATGCCTATGTAGAGTTATCAATGTAATTCTTTAATGACTGAATGTGTTCAGTGTTGCTCGCAAAAAACCAGAGAAATGGTATTGTTTATAATTTCTCTGCTGATAACAAATCGAGTCTTGCTCTTTTGTAAGAGCCCCACTGAATACATATGAAGTAATAACGGAGACAGAACAGTAAGATTATGACTGATTCTCAATAATTCTCACATCTCTGTCATCTATTCCAGAAGTTAAAGCGTTTGATCTACCTGCACTCTCGTCAGGCCTTTTCTAAATTAATTAGACACCGATTTGCGTCAGAATATTTATAATCCCATCTAATCAAACATTGAAGTGGGAGAAGATTCTCTCCGGATAGACTTAATCAAATCAAATAAATTTCGTCCGTCTGCGTTAAAACTACTGATATTTAAATTTTCGGAGCAAAACAGCTTAATTCGTCTTTTTTCTAAAGAGCGCCGTCTTTCTACCTCAGAAAAAATAAAAATCAGATCTTTAACTTGTGGTAGCGTACGAAAATGAAAAACCATTTCCCACGAGACTAAATTCTTTAGATTTGATTTAATCCCTCCGTATATACTAACCCAATAAACGTATTTTTAATGTCGGGATTTTGTACGTATGGCTAACAACTTCTTAGATACAATTGACCACATTTTTTAGTTGCTCTTCCGTTTCAAGAAAGAAACCAACATCGTTTTTAAGTAGCAAAATCATAATTAATGTTGCTGGATTTTTGGTTCATATAAGCACCATCACGCCTTATGTTTCAGACCATATTTTTAAATCTGATAACATATAACTTACCTTAAGTGTCGAAATATCTTCTTTTCCTACATCACTTTTCGTAATGTCTTTTTCTAGGTCACCCTGTAATGTACAGGTTAAGTCACAGCAAGGCTTCGAGTCGCTTCTGTGAATGCACTCGTTTTCATTTACGTCCTCAGTTGTCCTGTCAGGAGACCGATCCAATGTACATGAATTATCGGAATTGTTCGACTGTGTTAGAATTGTGTTGTTGCCTTTCTGGAGTTTAATTGGCAGTTCCTCTTGATGTGGCTCCAAACCTTCCATTTTAGCAAGCTGAGCCTCAATATCGAGCATGTCAGGCACTTGTGTTTTAGACGTGGGAACCACCACATTAGGTAATATGATATCAGCGTGCGGACTTTGGCTCGCCTAGTAAAAAATCCATTAGAAATAATTGAAGCAATTAACCATATCAAAGTATAAATTCCTACCTGATTTGGACTTTTCTCACTTAATGCGTCCATACTTTCAATACCGCTATCTTCTCCCTGCCCTCCGCTGCTTCCAGAATTAGGTGATCGGCCTCCCGACGTCACCACATTATTCAGTTGTTTATCTTGTAGCGAATCTATAGACTTTCGATCTCTATCTGCTAAATTGCACTTCTCCGGTTCTGGCGACTTCTCTTGTGATATTTCCGATATCTGATTAGGGTCTGAAGAACTTTGGAGACCCTAAAGTAAAAGCATTTTATTAGCAACCTTATGAAGTGAATATTAGGTCGATTTTGTGTAACTGTAAAAAGTATTTAGTGAAGAAAAATTATTAAGTCCTTTACGTTCTACAGACCTACAATTGGACCACTTTCAAAAGAAAATAATAAGAAACTGGAGGCTTTATTAAAATGTAATAAATTTGCTTAATCACCTGCTATTTTAAATTAAATTTGGTGTGTATATTTCAGCTGTACCAATTTATAAATTCACCGAACTCGAAACAAATGTCAAAAACAACACCATGTTATAAAAGATACCAAAAGTCTGCCATGATATTTCAAAAAGCACCAGAACGCAAAACAAATAAGACCAATTTTCAAATTGTGCAAATGCCTGCTATAATAGTTTTCTTGATTAAGAAAAGCACGCCTTTGGGCGTCTATAGGAAAATAAAAATAGCATGCATCTTGAAAACAGCATTAATTTTCATTTAAATTGTCTAAAACGAGGTTTTCTCCATTGATTAACATCTCTATTAGGGGTGCTACAACTCTGCGTATCTAAAAGCAGGGCTACATATTTAACTTTACCAAATTTGTTTAAAAAATATAATTAAGATTAAACAATTAAAAATGAAGGTGTTCTGATTTCTGAATATAAAAGTACTAGTCTGCACTGCTGGTTCTAATTTATTATTAAAATTATTTTCTATTTAGTAATTCAAACTGTTGGTTCGCTATTGTGGTCATCACTGGCTTGCTATGCATTTTCTTTTCACACTTAAAATAAAGTTGACGCTGCACCGAGTGGGACAAAATGTAACTATGAAGGAGTACAATTTTGAGAATGTCCAGTCTTTCAAATATCTAAGTTCTCTGATAACAGTGGACAATACCGGGGACAATATAATAGAAGAAGGTAAAACACCGAGTAACCCAGGGAAACAACTGTTTCTTCTCTGTGCAGAAGATGCTGAAGACCAAATATATTACAAGGTCAACAAACTAACATTGACCAGCAAACTAGCGAATATAGAATACAGACCAATAACGAATTCTCTCCACTATATCACTCCCCAGACATAGTACAAAAAAAAATCCGGCAGACTAAGATGGATCGACCACATCCCGCGTAGTAATAACAAAAGGCTTATAAATACCATATAGGAGGAGGTCCCAACAGGAAAGACATACGCTGAGATTTAGAGACAACATTCGCAAAAACTTGCAAATAATGTTAATTGCCAACTGGGAAAATGTTGTCCTAGACCGCATACGATATAGAGAGGTGGTCCAAGCAGCCCAGGTCCCCCCAAACTCATAAAAACCCTAATAAAGACCCCAGTGAGCTGTTCGCCAAACAAAATACCTAGAGAAACCAATATATGGAATATAATCCCTATTCGTGGGACATGGCACTATTAATATCGACAAAACCTGGACGAAAGTATGCCGCGTCCAGACTTAAACGGGTCTCTTATAGGTATTTCCACGAACATTGTTTCCAGTTTCCAGTGAATAACCGTAATTAAATCTCAAATGTTTTCAGTGGATTATAAAGTAATCAGGCCCCACTGTGTATTGATTTCAGATTTATTATGTAGAAACACATACGCGAAGTTTCATCTTAATCAAATTCAAACACAATTTAGTCCAACATGAAACTTTGCAACCATAAACATAGCTCCTTTACCTTTTCCGTCATATTTGCTATTCCCCCTCCATCCACCTGCACATGACCCATTACTTCGACAGTCCGATGCGGTGGACGAGGAATTCCCTTTTCTCCTATGACGCCCTCCATGAGGCTTTGCTTAAATTTGGCTTCCATATCCATATCCAATGCAGTTGGTAACGACACAGGTACAGTAGTTTGCTGTTTCTTATCTGACGGCGATGGAGGAGTATTCAGATTAAGATTGGACTTGGGTGTAGAGTATATTTTCCGACTATTATTTTCCTTGATTTTAAAGCTATCCTTGATTTTTAGCTGCAATTGATAGAGTTTAATAAATAAACGTATAACTACGAAACACACGTTAACAACATTACCTTATCTTTTCGAATTTTCTGCGGAAGGACACCCACCGTTCCAACATTGGTAGACCCCAAAACAGAAGGCACAACTTCATCTTCGTTAAGTCTTTTTTCACCCTCCGACTGGCTAAGTCGCCTTCTTTTTTCATCTGATACCAGGGCACCATTCGTATCATGTCTCTTGTTGTTTAATCGAACAAGCTCGGAGTCAGACCCACGTCGCTCCTTTTGCTTGTCTTTCGCATAATGATGATTGTGCAAGTATTTCGAGATTGTATTGTTCTGTGGCGAGTGAGGCAGATCTGATAGTGTCGCCAGAAGATCCTGAACAAAGTTGATATTACAGATCACGTAATCAGAAATCCAAGATCATTGTATTGCATTTTGGATGTCAATTTCGCCAGTACTTTAAGTATAGTAATTTAGAACATGTCTGAAGATTTGCGAATACAGGGTTATTCAGATTATACGAGACGCAACATTGCGGTTAAGCTATTTAATTTTAATAAAATACCATTTCATAAATAAACGGAGAACCGCCGGTGGTACATTTTAAAATTATTTTCAGGATTGAAGTACAAGGTGTCCCAATTAGTAGATTCAACCCAAAGTTGCATTTTTTAAATAGAATACCCTCTTTACTATTATGTTATTAGTGTCTGCGATCGAAATAAATGCGAGTTTTATTATTTATTATTAAGGTTTATCATATTTAAAGCTTACGGTTTCAGAGATATTTGGGGTTTTGCGGAATTGAAGACCTTCATTTAAGTTCAAATTCTCAACACCCATTTTGCATTTCAAATAAAAATATTTAATAATCTGAATAATCCTGTATACATGTGGGTTAATCGTATCAATTTCCATTCCAACAATCTCAAGGAAATTATGAAAGTAAATAAGTAGTTGTGAAATTTACACCAAAATAAAATAAAATAAAATAATGTGAAAAATGTTGAGAAGTTTGATAAAGTTAAAAATCCATTAAATATATTTGCATCCATATGCCTCACCATTCTGAAACGCGTAGATGGCAGCATTCGGAAAATTGCAATTTTGTAAAATAAGCTGTTTAAATTTAAATAAAATAACGAGTTTAATTTTAACAAATTCCTACCTTATGCTCATGATTCGTCTTTAGCCTCTTCGCTTTCCTATGCTCACTGATATCGCCACCTTCTTGATCGCTACCTCCATCTTTCCTGGTCTTATTCTGCAATTTCCTTGCTTTCTTTACCACAGGAGTTCCATCGGGATTCAGTTTCACCTTATTTTTAATCACCGCCGAATTACGTCCACGCAGGGATATGTGAAGCGGTGGCACACGAAGTTCTTCGCTACCCCCCGGAGCTAAACTGATCGGAGTCATTATTGAGGTAGACGCCTTCTTTGGCTGCTGAGTGTTGATGAAGCTGACGTCGACCTTGTATGCAGGATTGATCGGTTCATTCTTTTCTAGCTTAAGACGAAGCTTGATTTTCTCCGGAGGCAACTAGAAAAGTTAATTGATAGTAGCATTTAACTATAGTTATACGTAATTTAAAATAATTTCATGTATGGACTAACTAAAAAAGTGATAATTCGGCTTACTTTATGAGCCGGTGAATCCCTTCCTTCCCTCTTCAGTTTTGAATTTTTAACTCTTGAATGCTTTCCTTCAGTGCTTGACCTCGTTTCACTGTCACTTTGATCTGTATTCGTATCGGGTCTAGTCGTTGAATTAGTATCCTCATCGGACAGGCCCAGAGGCGAGGGTAAACCAGTGAAAACATCCTAGAATACCAATTGCCAATTAAGAAAAGATTTAAAAAATGCCAGGGATTAAGGTGGTTAATATAAAAGGTAAAACTGCAAACCTTGACATCTTCAGTGTCGCTTTCTTCTCCCCCAGAATGGGGTTCTAATTCTCCCGTTAGTGGATTTATAAGAAATTTTCTCCCGTCTGCATCCACATTATTTGTACTAGCTTCGATGGCTGGATCAATTAGTGCTATGTTGCTTGCATTATTATTACTTCCATTTTCTTCGCACAAATTGGACGAGCCATCTGAGTTTGCACTGAGCCCGGTACTCAATAGCTCCAATTCTGAGAGTTCAGGCAAAGCATCGTGTTCTAAAGTAGGTAAAAGTTCATCCAACTCATCCGGTTTTAAATCGGTTAAAGACGGTGCCAAATCTAGGATGTTTGATGGATTTCCCATTAGTGACTCCCAATTTCGCGAGATGGCAACATTATATGGTGGTGGCGATGGCAATGGCTTTTTAACAACTGATTCTACAGACGCAGTCTGAAACATTCCCTATTATAAGAATGATTAATTGTAATCTATACTAACTGTTAGCAGTATATGATAATATAAAAAATCTGGACTATAAACAAATTTAAATTGCAATCAACACATACCTGAGTACTTAGAACATCAGACTGAGTTATTCCCATTGAAATATTGCATCGCATCTGTGGCTGTCCATGAGTCATCATGCCAACATTAATACTTTGACCAACAATGCTATGCGCAGCTGCTTGCCCACTTCTAATAATACCACTTCCTACTAAGCCTCCTATACTTCCAGGTGTCAGCATATGATTGCTTCCAGACATTGCAACATTACTTCCAGACACTCCGTTGCCGCGATCGGATAGTATCGAATTCGTGTTACTGGACAACAATTTCGCTTGATTCTGATGCAGTAAAGTGTTTTGGAGCGAAGGTGCAAGGTTATTCTGAGTAAACATGACTGTTTTCTGGGGAATGTTCGTTATTTGTTGTTGTTGTTGACGTAACAGCACCTGTGCAGTTTGCGTCTGTATCAAAGGCATACTTGTACGCTGCACCTGATGCAACGGAATGTTGCTCTGGATGGATGAACCCATTACTTGATTAGATACCAGTTTATTAACCTGAAACGCATAATCACTAGTGTCTACCCAAAATAATGTATTCTATATTTGCATTTTGCAATAGACTGATTTTTAAGTAGTAAATTTACGAACAAAGAACATGAACGATTGAATGCCAAATAAATAACTGAGTTAATTCGTATAAGATTTGACAGTAGTCTAGGAGCCACAATGTATTTGCGGCTCAACTACCTTTGCTACTTCAGTTTGCATTTCGTAATTGAGTACTTTAATAAATGCTATCTGATAAGTGAAAAAAATGCCATATAATTATTAAATACATTTTGTGGGATAACCACATTTAGTATTGCATGGAAGAAAATTTTGACTTTTACGAAAGTGTAATACGATATATCTAATATGTAAAAGAGCGACAAACAGTAAAACTTTCTTTTTGGAATTAACTGACTTTCATTCACGATTAATCATGTAAGTTTTCCAGATTGTATTTCCAATTTTAATATTAACAATGTTCGTGTGTATATTAACCCATATTAATATTTAAACTGATCCATTGGTATATTAATGTTTGTTCATCCTAAAACTTACGTAGCAAAACTGCCCACACGTGTATGTATGATAATAATTTAAAATTCTAAAATGTGGGATTCCATTCTTTCCCAAATTTTATGGTCCTGATTGCTTGCCTCCTAAGAGTCCTACTAAAGTCTACTGAGCCTTACTAATTTTAGAATGTTTAAGTTATTATAATTTTAAAGTATTTAGTAATTAGTAATGACAGGCTGTGCTAATAAATAATATAACCGTCTTCATAAAAAGCCCACAATTTTAATTAATTTTATGTATATGTATGGAATTTAAAAAAAAAATAACAACTGGTTGTTTTAGACAAACTGATAATGGTGGAAACAGGCCGAAATGTGAAGCAAATTGACTAAATTGTGTTATTGTAAATAAATGAACCCAGGAACATTGTTTATATTAAATTTCAGGATTAATAAATCAATAAGTGGTTTTACAAATTTGGCCGCTTGGCGAGTATTTTTTTAACAACGAATTAAATATTATACGTATTATAATTTGGCAACTTACCGCAATGATACTGCCTTGGGGTGTCCTTTGATATTGTGGCATGTTCGACTGGGCACTTGGTTGAATAAAAGGTCTTTTCCGCGCACCAAACATGACTTGTTGACCCATCGCATTATTGGAATTATTTGTAATGTTATTTGCAGCATTTGCCAAGGAATTGGCTATATTATTAATGGCTAATTGAGTGCTTGTCACAACAGAACTATGGGGAGCCATATGAGTGCCGGAACTATTTGCCATTGGGCTGCTGTTTGAGGCTATTGAGGTCAATAAGGCGCTTGGTGGTGACACTGACGAATTACTGCTAACTAGATTACTACTAAGATTATTGTTACTCGAATTCACTAGCACGTTAGCCTGAGAGGTGATGAGGTGATTGGATGACACCTGATGCGGAGCTGACGAATTAGGTTTGATTTGCTGGGTCTGTACAGAAGGCACCGTTGTACTGGGCAAACATATTTGCGGTGAAGGTGGAGCTAATATGCCTGCTAACAATATTTGAAGGATTAGTTACCTAATTTGGCTTCAACAAGAAAACATCTTACCTGTAGCTTTAGTAGACAGTGGTGGAGGAGGGGGTCGCATTTGTCTCACTACAGTTGACGTTGACGTTGCCTTCACGGGCAAATCTGGTAACCTACTAATTGTGTTTGAACTCGCGACAGAAGTTATACCAACTTGTTGATCATTCTGAAGCAGATTAACCAGAAGCGGGCTGGAAATCGTCACTACCGGTTGATTAGCAGGCTATAAAGTAATAGAAACATGTCAAATCAACAAAACATTTGCAATTTCAATGCAATCACGCTGGATTTTTCTGTTAAATCAATCTTAGCAATTTTCTACAAATACTTTTAAGTTGTAATCAGTTTACTGGTAGTTAATAATAAATTAAAAAAAATGTACCTGTACTAGTGCGGTATTAGATAACTGTCGGACCCCTGGATAAGGAGGAGGCAAAAATGGTGGCGGAGGCTCCATGTTGCTATTTCTCGCGGCATTCGGTGCTCCACTACTACCATTATTGCTTTGGCTGTAAATAGGTTGACACGAGTAAAAATTAAATTTTCCAATAAACTTGGTAATAGAAGAGATTTAATAAACGATTAAGCATTTTGCTTACCTATGAATAGCTTGATTCATGCTGGCAAAGGGAAACGGCCCTGCATAAGGCGGCTTATTAAGGGAATTAGTACTGATAGTACTTTGTGGCGGACCCATGTTGGTGCCCACTCGTGGTACCACTGAATCGGGAGGACATACCACGTTGGGCGACTTGAATTGCACTTGAGAACTGCTAGCGGAACTGCCCGAAATTCCGCTTGCATTAGGCAGCAATGCTCCCAATCCGAGAGGAACAGAGCTTGGATTACTAGTGGAACCATCTGGAAAATATTTCGTTACATGTTAGTTTGAATGATTAATAAATACATATTAATAAACATTGTTTTTTGCAGTGTTTGCGAATTACCTTGAGTGGTCCTTAAAATAACTTCTTGGGGCTCTCCATTGGCGCCTTGCAACCGCAGAGAAACAGCTCCCTCGCCATCCAGTTGAACGCTCAGTATACCAAGCGCGCGTAGCTGCGACGCTCCTTGCTGCGCGAGCTGTCTGAGACGCAACGCCGCCTCGCGCGGCACCGACAGCGTCACGCGCACAGAGTTCCACGGCTCCAGCTTGCGAACTTTCACCGGAACGCCCAAGAGACCATTCAACCTGCAGAATTATAAGTTTATTCGACATAATCGACATTGTCCTCAATTAGAGTTGTTCAGATAAAATTTCTACTACTAATGCATAATGTAATTCTGCTACACTGCTGCCCATCAATATCATATCGTGTCTTATTCATTTAGTTACATCTCCAGTACTCTCGATTCAACAGTTATATCTCCATACCGAACCGACTGATTTTTGGTTACCTTTATCAGTTCAAAACTATCGGGAAACATTTCGGTCATGGACACAACAAAAACTTAAATTAGTAGCACCTACAGTAAGTAATGTATGAGTGGCCCAAACTAGGGCTCGGAATTTTTTTAAATCTGAAATTCGAATATTCGTTTAGTGGTTTATTCGAATAGTAAAATTATTCGAATACTCGAATATCTCACGAATATTCGAATATTCGATTACCGTTTTCCAAGAAGAAAAATCGTTATCTCATATCATTTTTGGCAACTAGCCGCAACGCATAAAAAAGTGCCTTTGTCGGCACATTAATTGTAACACCGCGCAAAAGTTGATGACGCGAATCACCAGAACACAGAGACGTAATTTTATATTCATTTGCAGGAGAGTAAATATGATTGTTTTCATTTGCTTGTAAATATATGGGTATTTGTTTAAATGCTTGTAGAATATGAATCATTTATTTTATAAAAGTATACAAAATGCATATAAAGATATTTGCACCTCGTGAGTTTGATAATGTTGGTGTATTCGAGTATTCGATTATTCGAGTATTCGAGTATTCGAATATTCGAATATTCGAGCTATGACTACACATAATTATTCGCTTTTTGAATATTCGAATACTCGGATTATTCGAGTTTGATTCCGAGCCCTAGTCCAAACCCCTTGTAACTCAAACTACGCAAAAAAATGTTTGCTAACTCTTTAGCAATTGCTACTTTTAGCAATTGCATAAAATTATATCCATAGTATGTGAACCCCTCATATTTGTAATCCAAACACTTTATGACAACTTTGCAAGGGGTCCCGTTGTTTAGTTGTTTTTGTTAGTAGACACATTTAACTTAAACCATTACCTTTAAACGACAGCCTGTCACAATTACCCTAAAGTCATTTGCTAAAATGTTACGGCGTCTGCATGTAGACTCCGCCCAATCGTGATATCTATATATGAAGTAATGTTTGTACCACTCAATTGTACGAGAATGTGCAAAAATTGTTGCAGTGAGTACAGAGTAGTTCTGAAGAAGAAAGAATTAATGTTTGAATAATGGGCCGCTAGACGAACTTTGCCTCGAACCTCGAGATGGGTACTGGATTTTGATAGAACCAGACTTTGGGACCAGACAGCCCTTGTCTCTCTTATTGTACTACTACAGAAGTGCAGAGATCAGCGCAGCAAAACCGTATTTGCCTGTTTTGTTGACTATGAAAAGCCGTTCGATCGTGTTCAACATGCAAAACTCATTACTAACTAAGTCCCGTATTTATCCGAGCCTCAAGTACGATTGAGATTTATAAACGATTCTCATTCTCAAGCCAGTGCTTGTACGAAATCGTCAAATTTACAGGGACCTAGAGTGGGAGCCACTGCGAGATCTACTGAAAAGAAAATCAGCCACGACCTTCGAAAAGGCCGAAAACCACCCCTTTGAGGAGCTACGAAATGCCGTAGCTTACTCCCCAGAGGACAATGGGGCCAGACACCAGATGGCCCAATAGGGCAATAAATAGGTACAAGCAGTAAACTGTAGAGTGCTGTAAGTGTATAACTTTTAGGATAGAGTGATAGAAGTA